CCGCCCGCCCTTGCCGCCGCCGCCGCGTCCCCCGAGTCTGCGGGCGGCGCCGAGGCCGAGGGGCGCTCGCTGCAGCACATGCTGCGCGCCATAGCCGAGGAGCGCGGCCGTCTCAGCCTGCGCCGCGAGGTCTGCGGCCTCGGTAAGTGGGGCCGGACCGGGGTCTGGGGTCCGTGGCCTCGGTGAGTGGGGTCGGGCCAGGCGGGCATCTGAGGTCTGCAGCCTCGGTGAGTGGAGCCGAGCCAGGCGGGGATCTGGGGTCTGCAGCCTCAGTGAGTGGGGTCAGGTTGGGCGGGGGTCTGGCGTCTGCATGCTCGGAGAGTGGGGTCGGGCCGGGGTCTGGGGTCTGGGGTCTGGGGTCTGCGGCCTCGGTGAATGGGACTGGGCTGGGCTGGGATCTGGGGTCTGCGGCCTCGGAGAGGGGTCCGGGCCAGGGTCCCGGTTCGGCAGGGCTGCGAGCCTTGCCGGGAGGGTGCGCGCCTCCGTGGGCTGCGCGTGTCTTTGCGTGTGTCTATCTCTGTGCGTGTCTCTGTGTCCTTCCCTGGGTGTGTGTCCATCTCTGTGTGTGTCTGGGTCTCCCCATGTCTCAGTGTCCCCCTCCCGTACCCTCACTAGCCCGCGTGTCCGGGTCTCCCACTGTCCCTGTCCTGCACGCAGCGTCCGGGTGTCTTTCTGCTTCCCAGGTCGTTCGCTGTCCCTCTCTGGCTGTGCGTCCCGGCGTCTCTCTGGGTTTCTGTGCCATCTCCCTCCCTTCCTCCTCCAGGAAGCCCTCCTGGGGGCCTCAGCGCACTGTGGGCGCAGATTCCTGGAGACCCTTAGCGCAAAGGCAGGGCCAGCCCCCGCGCCTCAGGGCGAGCCTTAATGCCCTGTCCTGGCTCACACGGAGGCCGCGTCTCGGGTGCCGAAGCCTTTGTCCTCCGGAACCTCTCCCCACCTGCCGTCCCCGTGTCCATTAACTAACGGGGACCTGTTGGGCCGTGTCCCGTGAACACACCCTTCTGTCAGGGGAGCAGGGCTGGCTGCTCTCCGGGTGAGATTCCTGTCTAAGGAGGCCCCGAGTCACAGATGGAGGTTAGGGTGGGATGGGGATGCCTGGCGTTGTTTAGAAGGCCTGGCTGCAGGTGTGGGTGGGTCTCTAGCTTGGCTGGGTGTGAGGTAATCGTTACTGAAGGGTCCTGCCCAGACCGATGGGGGGAGGAGCCCCCTCCCCTGCAGCCTCTGGTTTGTCGTTTTCTCCATGAGAAGACCCCTCCCTTCTCCGTGCCGGGAGTGACTTCATACCACATTGTCAGCCACCACCACCCCAGCGTCGCTGACTCGTGAACGCCAACCTTCGAGAGTCCACCAGTCCCCCTTCATTCCTCTGCTGGGGAAGCTGAGTCCCAGAGAGGGGACTTCTGCCTCCTCAGGTCACCCAGCAGCTGGGGTATGGAGCCCCAGGCTTTCTGGCCCTTCAGCAGGCCACGCCCTTGGGGGAGGAGAGGAAATAAATTGGAATGTTCCTGTTTGTAGAGGCTGGTTTAGCATGGGATAGCCTGCCCGGGGAAGGGAGCTTTCCTGAGGGGCCAGTCGGTGGTGTCTATAAAGTGGGGATGGAAGAGGACATTGGTTTCTCTGGTCCGTTTTCTGAAAAGGCATCAAGACTTACTTTTGAGCAGAAATTGGAGGATCCTCATAAATTCCTTCAGCAAACATTCATTGAGCACCTATTGTGTGCCAGGGTGCATGCCAGCATGTCAGGCCCACCTGTCACCTGGCACAGAATGGCTGGAATGGGAGGGGTCTGAGGGACCGTCTGCTCCAGGCCCCTCAGCCCCATTTGCGGAGCTCCTCCAGGCTGCCGGCTCCACTTTGCGGTTACCACGTGTGCCTCTGCCAGCCTTGACCACCATGGCTTGTCACCCCTGCCCCCAGGAGCCCCCAGAGCCTCCTTCTCAGAACAGTGCTAGGTAGCCTCTAGCACTCACAGGCCAGGTAGCTCTTGCCGGCTCTCCTCAATAGGAATATTGTCTCCTTTCACCTGATGAGCAGCCTGAGGTTCAGAGAGGCAAGTGACTTGCCTAGGGACAGCCAGTGAGGATGGCCCCTGGTCAGTCTGACGCCAAGCCAGCCTTCCCCTTCCACCCCTGAGTATCCCCCTCCCCCCAGCCAGGCCTTGCTGTGCCCAAGCTCTGCCTCTGGGAGGAGAGCTCCCCGTAGTAGTGGGCCAAGAGCAGAGTCTGATGGTCTCATAGGAAACCTGCAGGCTCATTGGTGTCTCTGCCCCGACCCCAGTCCTTCCCTCCTAAGTACCTGTGGTGCTTGGAAGCGCTGTGCCCTTCAGCTTGCTGTTTTCTCTGCTTGGAAGCCATGCCCTACTCCTCTGCCTCTCAAGCACCTAGCTACAAGTCTTCCTTCAGGTCTCTGCTCAAATGCCGCCTCCTTCCCTCGCCCAGGCCACTTCCTGGGGACATGTCCATTATGGCGATTGTGGCGTTGTCATTGTCTGCAAGGCTGTCTCCACATTAACGTGTGAGCCCCCTGAGGGCTTTATCCAGTCTGAGGTTTCTTAGTGCCTAGCCCAGGTTGTGTACAGAGCAGATGTCCAGCAAACATTTAGCAAATAAAGGAAAAGATTAATTTCTGAATTGGCCAGTGGAGAGTGTTGATGGCCAAGGACGTTGGAATTTAAATTCTTAGAAGGGCTTGGTTGCCTTCGCTTTCATTTTTCAGATGAGAAATTTGATGCTCAGAGAGGGGCAAGCTTAGCAGGGACTTAATGCCCGGAGTAGAATTAGGAACCACAGGTTGGCCCAAGCCCCGGAAGAGACCACCAGCCCCAAAGCAGTGTTACAGCCAGTGGGCCACTGACCCCTCTCGGCCCGGTGAGGTCAGGGTTATGTGCTGTCCTCTCCACTTCACAGCTGCGACCCCTGACGTTCATGTACCTGTTACATTTAGGCTCTAATTCTAGTTGCCAGATTTTTGTGGGTGTTGTTGAATGAAAGCTTAGGTCACTCAGAGCTGCCAGCTGTTCTCAGCGTGTTCTGAAGGTATGGAAGGAGCTCTGGTGGAGAAGCTTGACTTTGGACAACCTGTTTGTCATCTCTGAGTCCCGGGGTCTCTATGAGATGGAAAAACTGTGACCCTCCGCACCCAGGGGTGTTGCTTGACTCTCATGATGAAAGACCCCGTGTGTGGGTGGGTGGGGGCAAAGGGAAGAAAAGCCAGGTGCCTGAGTGAGGAAATCAGTCCAATTCAGTTCTGACACTACCTGCATGCGCAGCACTTCCTCCTCTGACGCCGGCCACCAGAGCGAGGACAGAGCCCCCAGTCCTCCAGACTGCCAAGTCTGCCCAAGACCTCAGATGCTAGCTGCAAGATTGGGGGTTCCCATGACACCCTGACTTCTGACCTCCTGGCTACATGTTTGAGGGTTCCCCTTACCCACTCAGGATGCCAGCTATAAGCTGGGGCTCCCAGGGCCCCGCTCTCTTCTGACCTGCTGGCTCCCACCACTTCATCGGGTTCAGGAATTCGCTAGAGTGACTCAGAGTACTCAGGAAGCGCCACGCTCGGGGGCACAGTCTTATTCCAGCAAAAAGGATACAAATGAGGAGACCCTTAGAGCGAGGTCTGGAAGTGTTCCCAGCATGGAGCTTTCACGTCCCGAAGGGCGTGCTGCCCTCCCCATGCCTAGGTATGTTTAACCAACCAGAAACCTCACGGAGCTTCCCTGTCCATAGTCTTTATATTGAGGTCACATTACGTAGGCATGACTGAATCACTGCTCACGTGGTTGAACTCAACCTCCAGTCTCCTCCCCTGAGATGCGTTCATATCTCCTTGTCTTTCTGGGCTGGCCAGCCTCCACCCAAGAGTCCCCTCATTAGCATGACCTGTTAGTGAGGTGTGGTCTGGGGCCCTCAGGGGTAACAAAGACTCCCATCCCTGGGGAAATTCCAAGGTTTTAGGTGTAATCTCTCAGGAACAGAGGACAAAGACCAAGTTCTTTGGGTAAAGTTAATTGTAAACCCAAAGACAGGTGACTGTTAGCTGAAGTAAAGCCCTGCTGGCAGCTGCCAGGGCGGTGGCCACCCCTGGCAGGACTTTGGTGTTTCAGCCCCAGGAAACTGCGATTGCCGGTACCCTGTGAAGCACGCTGGCTGTCTGAGGTAGCTTCTGTGGGGTTTCAGCCGCAGGAAACTGTGATTCCAGGTACGCTATGAAGCACGCTGGCTGTCTGAGGTAGCTTCTGTGGGGTTTCAGCCCCAGGAAACTGTGATTCCAGGTACCCTGTGAAGCACGCTGGCTGTCTGAGGTAGCTTCTGTGGGGATTTCAGAGCCTCTGAGGTGGGAAGAAACGGGCAGCCAGTGCCTGTATGTTGTGGGGTGCGGATATCTGGAGCGAAGGTGGTCAAGCCTGACCCTTCCTCCTGGGCTTGGGCCTTCCCGTGGGCTCCGGACATCAGCCCAGACGTGCCATGGGGCAGGCTTCTTTGACAGAGGGCACAGGCAGTGTTCCATCAGACAGTTTGGACACGCCCTGCCCAGCCCCGGTATGAGGCGCGGTGATGACAGGGCCTGCATCATGCCTTGCTGGGCATTTTCAAGAGCTTTCTACATGTGGCCAGCCCCCTTTTAGGAGCCTTAGGGGATTCTCCCTCTGTCTGGGGTGCTGTGGGGAGGCATGTGTCATGTTCATTAATTTCTTTTATCCATGAAATAATAATCCCACAAGGTAGGCATCAGTATGCTCAGGAAAACGGAGGCTTAGAGGGAAGTAACGTGCCCCCGTCACACGGCCGTAAGGAGCAGAGGCTATGAGGCCAAGCTCTTAACTGCTCGGCTCTGCACAGGGGCCAAGCTGACCTGTCCTCCAGGTGCCCATAGCCCGGCAGGTCCCAGGTGTGCATGGCTGCCTGGCACAGGAAGATGTAGAGGTGTGGGCGTGCTGCCATAGGGGCACAGAGGAGGGAGACAGGGAGGTGTGTGGAGGGCGTGAGGGTGGGCAGGATTTCCCTGGGCGAGGGGGAGGGGGACAGCGAGGGGGACAGCGGGGGGGAGGTGGACAGCAAGGGGGAAGGGGGCAGGGAGGGGGAGGGGGACAGCGAGGAGGAAGGGAACAGCGAGGGACTCGCGTGGCTTGAGGGCGGCTGCAGG